TTTTTTATGATCTGATTTAAAGTGAGCTTTGTGTGCTAATAACAAACCTGAGAATGGATCAAAGTTACCTAATTGAATTATTTCTATGCTAATTTCAGCTTTTTCCCCCTCCAAAATGGATCGTAAAATGTTTGTTTTTGCTCCCCATTAATATCAAAATGTGACACCTGATATATTTCAACTTTTTGGGCTCGAAACTGCTGTTTAATTTGAACTCTTCTCTACTCCAAATTAATCTTTGCTTTTATTTGTGCGAAGCCTCAATGCCACCGTTTTTAGTTTATTTTGCAGGTTTTTCAGTTCAGCTTTAATTCCTTTCGAAGCGATTTTGGGCTTGTATTTCCTGGCCAGCAAAAAAATATCTCACAACGCATTATATTTCGATAAATCACAAGAGATAACAAATCTAGCAGGTGAGGCGTTTGAAAGGTGTTTTAAGAGGTTCGAGCAATCCAAATGGTGGGATCTTAATAGAGGAATCCTCAGGGCTTATTTTGGTCAACAATCTCTTAACTTTTTATGAACTACTAGTTTTATCTTGGGTTTTTTTCTGAATCTGAATCTTGACCACTTAAAGTTGCGGCTTATTTTTCGTGTGAGCTTAATTTGGTGTCATAATTCAAACAAATGCCTCGCTTATAAATTAATAAATATTTATAGTTTTAATGCCCCGCCGATTTTGAGCAGGCTTAGGCAAATATTAGCTCAAAACATAAGTCCACATAAGCGGTGGTCAAAGTGTATCTCTAGTTTTTTAGACACTCGAAACGGAAGTTAGATGCCGAATTCAGATAAATTTCGCTTGGTGCTGACAGTCAACGAGACAAAAGTGTATTGATTGATTGCAACAAGGTGAAGGAAATTTGTTTGCAGTTTTGTTAAAACCATGTTCGACCTTGCAGTTTGCTCCACCCTCTGCAAAGAGGCTGTCCCCCCATCCCCATCCACGAATTATCTGCGATACAAGAGGTTTCAATGTTCTCGGTATGCAAATGATTTGTTTATATGTTACCAGCTGCTACTACAACCTCCACCTTGGCCAAACAAGTTCTTGGTGTCTGATATCATTGATAAGATGGCCAGGCGGATTATGTTTCTGGCCAAATGCCCAAATGCCCAAGACAATTGCGGCCTGTCACTCCATCAGACCCGGTCGTCATTTGTCTTGGCATTATTTCAAATCTTAATTGGCCGCGAATTCTTCTTCACTCTCGTGAATTTCTCACGTATTGTACGATGATCAGAGTTAAGAACAGGAGCGGATTGGAGGTATCGCTTGGGCACTTAATTTATTTAATACGTATACGTATAAATTAAAATATAAATATAATATAATAAATATAAAATATAAATTTAAATATATATATTTAAATTTTAAAATTTACGAAACTTTAATAAAATAATGCGTTATAATATAAATGTTAATGATTTATATATTCTTTATTTCTATTTGTATTTTTTAGAAATATTTGAGAAATAAGCGAAGGGGAAAACAATATAATGTCTATATTAAAAAGAATATTTCAATATAATTAGTTTTAATTATGAGTTTAATTTTGAGATTTCAGAACTATTTAAATTGTGTTCAATAAATACCTACAACCTGATATTGTAAATCCGCTCCCGTTTCCGCCCAAAAATCACATCATAGGCCTGTTATTCTTTTGATTATTTCAAATTTGACTAATGCATTTTTAATGAAACATCTACCATGACATCATACGAAATTGGTTCGTCTAGAAGAAAAAGAAACTACCAGAAATTCAAGCAGAAATACCCCGCTTAATCGTCACTGCCTAAATATATAAAAATAGTATCAGCTCTTAAGAAAATTCCGCGAGAAACTTCATGAAATAATTACAAAATCATTCTGAAGTCTCTCAGCTTTAAAAATTCCCAGCTGCCATTAAACTCTGCGAAAATTGCAAAACGGATGTATCTTTTGCTTTTGCATCTGTGACGCATCCATGAGTACGTTTTGCCTTTCACTTTAGGTTGTCCCCCGAACAAAAAACAGACTGCTCCTTTCAACGCCAGCCTGACATTAAAGGATTACAGGGCGTACTTTTTTTTAATCGAAATAAAATTAAAGTCCAGACGATGCGCCCGGAAATGGCGGCGAGAAGAACCGAGAATCGAGAAGGGGCGATCAGGATTTCATAGTTGATTTATTTTGGGGACCGAGATTGAGATTGCACAAGGGCAGCATGGCAAAAGTCATTCAACTCCGGTTACATAAGCATCGATGCGTGTGCAGCCTGCAGAAGGAAGCAGCTGTTGGATGAACGGATGGATGGGGGGATATACGTTAATATCAGATATGTGAAGGTCGTCCTCATCACCGAATGCAACATGCAACATGATGTGATGGCCAGGGATCAAGGGACTTGCCCTCCACACACCCATGACTCATTTGGCTGTAGAGCAAAGCCATTCGACCGAACGATTTATGGTAACGATTCCCCATCTCGACGCATCATCTCATCTCATCGACTTGAGTCAGAGGCGTTGACTTTTGGTATTTTGTCGAAGAGAGACTGCAACAAATTGGTTTTTACATTTTTTGGTAGGCTTTCTAAATTTGGTGCTCTATGTACATATTCTGTCTACCTCAAAAATGTTGGCCATTGCGTAGCTCACTCGCCTCGGATTCTTTTATTCGCATGAAATATTGATCTTGGGCCAAAGTTGCTCATATCGAACTTGACTTGGGCTTGTTAAAATCGTATATTTCTATTTATATATTTTCTGATTTCTTGATAGTTTCGCCGGCTTTTGAATTTGATTAACAAAAATTTAACTTGTTTTGCGACCGATGATAGCTAAAAATTTTCGTTTTGGGGTTTTGTTCTCTCAAAGGTCGTTTCCAAAAAAAAACAAAAAAGAAATACTCATGTATTGTGTGACTCGTTGTGGTCATAAAAATTAAATTTTGTGTGGGCTAAAAGTTCGCAAAAAAATATATATTTATTTAAATTCCACAGAGCTCGAATTTGGCTTAAACCCCATTTAAATATATAAAATTTCTTTGTGCCTTTTCACTGTCTGTAAAAATTACTTTGCCCACTTGCTGTTTTGCGGCTTATCTCGAAATTATGTTTAATAATTTTACTGTCAATGAAACGCTGTCAAAAATGCATTTACATATGAAATAAAATTAAAGCAAAACAAAAGCACCGGGTTTTAAATGCTTCATTTTGTTTTTCCTTTTTGTTTCGGTCAACTTGAAGCTGCGAAAAATAAAGCGAAAAATTTTAATAATGCTTTGAGAATGCTGAAGGCTTTGGAGGATATAGATATGGCCCGATTACTAAGCGATGTCAAGGTTATTATTTTTAGCCTGTAATGTAAAAGGAATGTTGAGAACGGATTTAAGTATTTGACTCTTTTTGGTTTTTTTTTGCAGTGAGTCCGAGACCGAATTAAGTTTTATTATGCATCCTTGCTTAATATCGCCGTTGGCACATTATTTTAAATTTATATTTTTAAATTTTTAACTAAGCCCACGTAGACATATTTTACAAAAAAAGATCCCCAGCTGCGTTGGTTGGTTGCATGCTGGGCCAATCTTCGATTTCATTCGGATAATTCCCTTTTCTTAAGGAGGGTATATTAAATTTATTAATTAAGATGCGTATTAGAAAAAATAAAAAGTTTGTAATGTAAACGTGTAAAAAATAAAAAACAAATAAATATATATTTGTAAATAAATTTACATACTTTTAGAACTTTTTTGAGAGTATTTAACTTTCGTTTTCTGCATGCTTACTTCCACTTCCCTTACTTATTTTTGTTTTTATCGTCGAAAATACTTATACATTGTCTTCATTCGGTGGGCTTTGGCCTTGACTTAAGCATTGTCATTAAATTCATCCTGTTTAATGTCCAAGAGGGAAGAAGCTGATTATTTTCTGTGTCAATTGCTGCATTCAAGAGCAAGCCAAGTTTTTGTATTAAGCTAAAAATTGTTTCCCCTTTTTGCGCTGGCAGTCGGGCAAATTAATCCGCAAAATTTGCTTTAAATGTCAGCAACTCTTTAGCAAAACAAAAAACAACAACAATAAATTTGAGAAACATTCTAAACTAAGCTGATCATCAAACGGAAGCGTTTCGCAACTAAATGAAAAGGTGTCTGAATTATGGCAAATGGATTGGTAATCCTATCTGACATTGGGTTCGTGATCTCAGAGATTAATTTCTTGGCTACCGTGTGCGATCATTTCAAGATTTAGAAATATCTATATTCTGGCTGATCAATAGCTGCAAAGTTATTTTAATTATGCCCCTTGCACATACACAGGAAGAAAAATTAGTATATACGGAAATCGTGCGCAAGCATAATAATAAAACCGAAAACTCGCCTGGCTTTTTGCAGAGCTTTAATTAAATCAATAAACCATCTAAATAATTTTTAGCAATATATAAAAACCTCAACGGCGGGAGCCAGAAAAAAACAACATTCTATCTATCCATCTATCTATGTGTGTATAGCTAAAATATAGCTCTTCGATTAACGATAAAATTAAATCAAAATAAACACGAAAAACTCGAATTTTCAATTAAAGACAAAAAAGCGTTCTTTGAACAAACAGAAACGCAAGACAATAAAACATAAAAGAAAAAAAATCAATCTTTAAATATTAATGAACCCCAAGAACCTGAAAGTGAACTTAAATTCTTGAGACACGCAAGCAGATGATCCTAGAGATTTCGAAGCGAGAGAATCAGAAATCCGAGCGATCCAAAGAGAGTGATCAATATATCAAGTATACGACCCGCTGCTCCGATGTCGCTTAGTTCGAGTTCGAGCTCATCTCTCCGGCGCTTGGCCAAATAAATTAACGAATCCGGCGAAAAAAAGCAAACTCGTTCCACTCACACACTCACGCACTTTAAGCCAGGTCTTCAAGTCTCTGCGGCTGTGTTGGTTAGGAGCTGCTCTCAAGTACGATTTTTAGTCTTTTTGTGTCGAGTGCTTTTTTTCGCCTTTTTGTTTCGCCTCTGCCTCTGTTTATATGGCTAAGACCCGATGCGTTCATCTTCAGTTCGTCCACATCGGTCACCACGGTATGAGCTCTAGTTTAGGCTCCTAAAAGTAAATACTAAAACACTACCCCCACCACAACTTGTGATCAAGCCAACCCAAGAGAACTGTACTAATTGCAAGGATAAACAAGACGGAATATTTGCAACAAATTCCCAAACTCTATATAGTGTTAAACTGTGTGCTCCTGCCTTCGTCCAAAATCCAACTAAAATAAGCCTTTTCTTCTTTCTTCAAGATTGGAAAAGGGATAACTGAGTTTATTCCATTGAAAAATTCAAAATATTTACTGGAGTTTGTTGTGTCAAAAAAACCATAAAATTCGTTGCAAAATGACGCGTGCAGCTCTTTGCATGGTAAGTTGATAATATAATTATAAAAAAAATATTTTTGAAAATCGGCAAAACATTTCGAAAAAAAATCTTTGTGTTCAAAAACTTAAAGATCATTAAAGTTGTTGATTAGTATTCTTAAAAATCCTCAGAATATTAAATCTTGAAACTTTGTCTCAAAAACTTAAAGATCATTAAAGTTTTTTACCACTATTTTGGGAAGTTAAAGATCATTAAAATTTTATTTGCGACATAAAACCCTTTGAAATGGAAATAAACTGAATTCCGGATTTTAAACGGATATAAAATCAATCGTTTATAGTTTGCATGATTTAAAATCGATTTCTTCAGCCAACCTCCGGCTACCAATTTAAATGTTATTTCATTTCATATTTTGTAATAACATTTAGCACTTGGCTAAAAATATTGTCAAACATGATATACAAATAAATACGTGAGAGATTCGTCTGCTTCGTTTGTTTGATCGCAAGCGAATATTTGAATATTTGAATGCATGGCAACCAAGTTTGAAGGCTTCGAGCTAAATAGAAAAAAATGCATAGTGAGCTCAGAACCAATATTTAAGACGGAATTCCTCTTTTAACGAGCGTTAACAAGTCCGGGTCAAATTATAACTATTTCGGTTTCAGTTTATTTGCCCAAGTATGGGCTCGAACTTAGTGGGGGGAATAATGATAATAATAATAGACAACCGGCATTTTTCTGGGCAAACAAATACAAATACCGGCAATTTCGTAACGAACCGATGCAAATGCGCTAGGTTCTTCTGTTTGCTTTACCGCACAACGCAAAAGTATTGCCCAGTTTTTATTTGACTGGAATTTTTTTCGTGCTGCTCACTCTGCTGACTTTTATTGTTGTCATTTGAAATCGAATCGATATTCGTAAATTCTGTTGTTGTTTTTATTTGGACGAGTCAACGGACAAAAATGTGGCAGCAGCAGAGAAAAACGTTGTTTACCAAAAATAACAAATTTCTGGCGGGGTATTTAACTAAGATTTAGTGATAGAGAGAGTTAAATTTAAATGATTTCGGATTTTGTTATTGTCTGCAATATGCAAATTCGCTTTTTGTATCATTTGTCACGTTTTTTTGCGCCAAAGGGAGCTTATATATTGTATAGTATTTCTGCGAAAGTTAAGGTTAAATTAACGCATGAGTCAAGGACTTGCTTCATTAGGAAAGACTATCACAAAAGAGTGCTAATTTTATTATGGCCGAAAAAAATTCTTAGATAATTTCTTAGATAATATCCAACCAAAGCTGTTAATTGTTTTTGCTTGTGACTGCTATTCTTTTTTTTGATTTGCGGTTTTATGAGCACCTAAATTCCCTCAAGGTGCCATAATGATGCTCTAAGTGAGCTGCGATACTATCTCGATTTGGGATAGCGAAAAATGGTTTCAGTCTGGCGCCTCTGTCACCTGCCAAAATGACCCCTTCCTTCCCAGTCTTTTGGTCTTTTGGGGTTAAGCTTTTGGGTTTCGGAATTTATCACCGTGGCCTGCGGCTTAAGCCTCTGTTTTGGGCCAAGATATTCAGCCAGACACGTACTCGGCAAACAAACAAAAAAAAAAGGGGGAAAAATGGAGGCGTCGGGGGCGAAAAATATTGTTAATGCCCAACGGCACTGCGTTGACAGGGCATCTCGCATCTTGGCCCGCAATTCTTTTTATTATAAATTTGTTCTCAACTTTGGTTGTGCGGAATTTTAAAGAGTCCGCGGAATTTTCTTTCCCCTTGCAATTTGAAGAGATTTAATCGCTCAGTAGGCAAAAGTTGAGTCATAAAATGGAGTAGCAAAAGTCGAGTGTTTGGCATGACAAACAGTTGGCTGCTGCTGTTGGCTTGTAGGCAATTGAAATAAATTACGGCATTTATTTGGTTGTAAAATAGAGCGTTAGGCATGTCAAATGAATAGTAAAACTTTACAGTTACAAAGGGAAATTTAAATAGGGCATAAAAAGAATTTATTAAGGAAATTGAGTAGATTTAGGAGTAGTTCTAAAGGTTTTATAAAATATTTATTTTATTAAAATATGATAAAAAATATTATACGAAATTTTACTTTCGTCGGATGCAAAAATAGGTCTTTCAATGTTCTGAGGGCCCAAAGAAAATACCTGTTAATGAACTTTTTGTCAACCTTCTACTCAGAACAACCTTACGTAAGAGTTCAGGGAACTTTACTGACTCCCCCATTCACTTTTATGGCTTATCAGCCTGACTATTCTTTCTACTCCCCGCTTGACTTTCGATATTTAAGGTCTGCGGTTTTTGTCTCGCATTAATTTATGGGCCTCCTTTGTTGGCATATGTCTATGGCCAATTTTAATATGGAATCTATATAGACGGAGAGACAAGAAATGCAAATTAGGTCTTGATCGCTAGTCGGCGATTAGAAGACGAGACAATCGCCAAAGGCGGCAGCTATGGCGATATATGGAGGCGATAATAGAGGAAGTCTTCGGGTTTTTGGCTTTGGTTTAAGTAAAAACGAAAACGTTATACAAAGAGTATATTTATCAAGCTCCCAGCTTCCAAATGCCAAAAGTTGAAAGTAAAAGTTTTTTAAACCAATATGATGTCATTCGGGATGCTCGAACGTGCCAAGCCCAACGGTTTATTTTTTAATTGCTTTAATAAATCAGAACAAGTCGAGTGGAAGTTCAGTGACAGCCGCGAAAGTTAATGAGCTACATTTGTGTAGACAAATTCCCAGCTTTGTCTGCTAATTTCATTTGTCTATCTATCGATGAGGTCCCGAAACTCATTAGCACTGTTCTGCTCCCAAAGAATTCTAGATGCGCGGCGCTAATTAAATTCGGGTCTGGATTAACTGGAAAATCCGAACCAGAAAAGGAACCAGAAAGCCCATAGCTGGTTATTCTCGTTCCCCCGATTTTATCATTCGATTTAAAATTGATTTTATTTTAAGTTTGCCAGGTTCTAAAAACTCCTTTTGTTACTGGGTGGAATTTTTTCCCTGTTTGTTAGGCATTTTTATTGTCATCTTGTTTATCATTTATCTCTTACTTTATACAAATGTTTGTCGGGGTGTTGAAACAGACATTTCACAATATCCAACAATGTTTCGTTTTCGTTCAAGAGAAATTTCACAATTCCCTGCAGACCCGAAAACTGCATCCAAAAAACAAAAACAATAAAAAGATGTCATCGATTAAGGTCGCCGTCCCGCAGTCAGTTGCATTTTGATTCGATTTATAAAAAACATACAGATAAACATAGAGATTTTCTTGTTCAATTTGTTGGCCGCCGGCAAAAGATCGACCTTGAAAAGTATAAATACTTACATGAAAAAAAGTTTCGCTCCAACCGCCAAAGGGCAAAAGCAGTCAAGATGCTTGAGCGAAAAGTGTGAGGATGACTAAACCGGTTGCTTTTCGAATGATGATTATTATGATCTTCAAGATGATTATGATGAGAAACCAAGATGTACACGAAATCATGTTAACAACAACCCAAAACAACCGAAACAACCGTCTTGTGCGTGCGAATAAGTCGATTAATAAATAGTCAACGGTGAGTTATGCAAAAATCTTCAAGATTCATTGGTTCATTGTGCATACTAGTGGTTCTACTTTGGTTCTCAAGGCGTAGCTATATGGCTACATGCGTTTTTTGGGTCACAACGTCAGTTGCCACTCGGTGTTTTTTTCTATTTTTCATGATCTATGCGACTTGGAATTGATTTACTGCATTCGCCACTCGAAACTCGCCTCTTCGCACTTCTTTTATGATCGACACGACGTCTGTATACATAAAATATAAAATTGTGGCCCACATTGGTTAGCTAGCCTTTTCAGTTTAATTGATTGGCAATTGATGTGAGGCTTTGTGCAGCGATCAGCAGTTGAAAAGCGGGCTTGGCTGCCCCTTCACTCAATTTGAGAGCCTAATTACAAATAACAAATGAATTTGTCAGATTTTGGGCTATACCAATTATGAGATCAGGGTAAACGTCAGGGGGTTTCTTTAAAAGTATATAAAATATTTAAAAATTTCGGAAACTAAATTCCAGCCATTTCTGATCAACTTAGTTGGATGTCTAGTTTCCCAGGAACTAAAGTTCTTTCTCCACTTACCTTATTCACAATTCAATAGCTCCTTCCCCCACTTTACCAATCAATCCATCACTTTTCCCCACACATGTCAACGAAAACAGTTTTCCTTGACATTAACTGAAAGGCAAAACTTACTCAATATGTTAGTTTCCCATGGGTGAAAGACAAAGTTGCAAACGTCGTAATCAACTGCCATAATAAGTTGAAAATCAATAAGGACCGAAAATAATGAGAAACTTTTGTAATATTTAACCAGCAGTTTTTCCATAGCAGACACGCTATGTGAAATGCGGAAAGAGAAAAAAAGGCAAATTTTTTATTTATGAAAAACTTGGCCTGCGGCTATGTGGGTGAGATGAAAACGACCTCTGTTGTCAGCAGCTGCTAGATATCATGGCATAATAAATTAAAAACAAAAATGTATTTTTTATGGACTCCAAAATGTGGTGTCCGAAAATGTCTGCATTTTTGATCAGTGGCGGAGATTTTGGAGCAGGCGATTTGGCAACAATTTAAACTTGAAGATATGCCAATCAAAAGACAGTTATCCGTCGAGCCACCGATTTGCATTAATGAGATTTCATATTTTGCCTTTGGAATCTGAGACTAAAATCTCAATCTCTCGAACCGTTTGATGGCCGCGATAGGCAAATAAATTTGTTTTATGAGAAATTCATTTGTTTTGTCGCCGCATTTTTTCTTCTTTTTGTTTTTTGGGTTTCCTTCACATGGTTTGGTTTCCACTTTGTTTGCACCCACAAAAAGACGCAAAATTATTGACCTTATCGCAGCCATTGATAGATAGATGGAATCTATGGCGGGTGTTAACCATAAAATGCCATTGTTTCGCCTTTAATTACTGCAATCCCTCTTTAACCTTAAGACAAACACACCCTCGCCTTTAAAGAGATGGAGGCTTAATTTGGCTATGAACGAATCTATCAAATTAAAAAAGAGAATTGAATTGATTACTTAGCATAAGGCGAAGGTCATTCTCCGCACCTGAAATGCTTCTTCTTTTTGCCTACGAACTCAGCGACATATTTAAGAATTATGACTTTATATATGAATTCTGTATTAGGATGGGTTTTAAATGAATTTCGTAAAAGAACTCGTTTTAATAAGGAAGTCTCTTTTGGCAAAGCCGGAACTTGGCTTGATTTTATTTATTAATTCTATGGGCAATTTATGCAAATCGATGGACGAAACAATTTCGTAATCTCAGATATTCAGGCAGAGATCTTCGGCAGAAAAAGATGATCCAACGATTATGTGGGACAGTTGAGAGCTAAAACTTGATAATCGATTTGCGGCTGCCACTCAGAATGCCAACAAGTGCATTTAGAACTAAGCTAATTGTCCATTACTGTCAGTGGAAGCCAACTAGTTTTTTAGTTTTCTTTGACTGTGACAAATCTTAGAAAATTAGCATGTTCTGCCAAATCGAAATCCAGTTCCAGTTTGCTAAAAAAGTCCGTCAACATTTGACGAGTGAGCCAAGAATGCGTTGTGATTCGATTATAATGCCTTTGACATTTTGCCAGCAATTTCGGTGAACGGTTTTCTGTTTTATTTTTTACTTTTCGCTTTGGTTTTCGAATCGAACCGGATCTAAATGGCCTGTTGGAGATACAAATAACCAAAAACGAGCTCGCGTTTTGACTCATCTCTAAAGCGGGGTATGCAAATTGAGTCGAGCCGAGAAAAGACTTAAATCTTTTGAGATACTAGCTTGGTTTTTGTGGGGGCGTGCCATGAATGTGACAAATATATTCCGACAGATGTAATTTTGTGGGTTTTTTACCTAGACACCAAACATTAATCATTCGCCTTCTTACTATTTTTTTCAGGCCGTCGCTTGCATTTTGATGCAATGCGTCTACTCGGCAAAGTTCGATGAACAGAACCGTCGTCTTATTCTCGATATAAACGACCAAAAGACAACGAACCGTCAATACTATTCGTCAAACGTTGACACAAGTAAGTGAAGCCGTTTAACAATTTTACTATCCGTGTAAGCCGCTTGAAAAAAAACCATCCAAAAAGTAAAACTAGAATCCAAACCCGATCCATTAATTTTTGTACTGCCCATCCATTTTTTGGTATGACCCATCCATGCAGTTAGTTAGTCCTTGTTTTTGTTATTTATATACCATTTAAGTAGTTAAATTGACCAACCAATTGTTATCGTAGTTGTTAGTAGTACCTTAGTCGTAAGTATTTGTATTACCACAACCCCCTATACAAAGCCCTGTTGTTAGATCAACCCACTTACATTAATCTATAATCTATACCCCAAAAACCGAAACAACAACCAATTGTAGTACCCCTCTATATTCTATATATATTCATTATATATATCTCCGTAGCAGCTTTACTAAACTCACCCAGTAGAACTCGTAGTATGCGTCGTAGCTATACTCAAATTGTAAATATATACACGCTCAACAATCAATCAACCATTTACCTATACCTCTCTCTCTCTCTCTCTTATCCTATGCTACTTTCTCCTTCTCTTACATATAAATATATATACACTTCCTTCAACAGTTTTATGTAGGCATTTGTTCTTCGTTGGCCAAAAGCTCTACATGAGACCTCTTTAAAAATGCTTCGCATACTCATAACTCTACCTCACCACCTCAAAATTGAAATACTCCAACCAAAAAAACTAGAAAAAAAAAAATTAAACCAACAACAGCACACAACAAACACCAACATTTTCTTTATACCAACCTCATCTGATTAGGTTATCTGTGAAACTTTCAGTTACAGCGCCCTTTTAAGAGATGTTAGATCACAGTCAGATCAGAGTTAGTCGAGAGTCTTAGGGTTATATAAACACACCATTTACAGGTTCTCACAGCACAGCACTCCAATAAATTAAAAACAAAACACCAAAACGTTATACTCTAAACATTACTCTTCCAAAAAACCCTCAAAAACAAACAACCCCACCAAAAACCCAACCAAACCGACACATGAACATGATCATCAACCACCACTAAAGATGCCTATCGATATGGCTACGATGTCGGCAAGACCGGCAACTTCCATCACGAGACCCGCGGTCCCGATGGAGTGACCTACGGCTGCTACGGCCTCATCGATCCCTACCATCTCCTCCGGGCAACACACTACGTGGCCGATGCCCACGGCTACCGCACCGTGGAGCCGGAGAAGCCGGTGGAGACCTTCCCGCCTCATCTGTACAAGGAGACCGACGGCGGTCCCTCCGAGCCGGGCATCCTGCTGCAGTGGGAGGAACTGTACTTCCCCATTGGATGTGGAAAGTTTGCGAATGGCGCCCAACATGGCGTACCATTCTTCCTCGAAGATGTAAGGGTTGTAGGGATTGATCCCTGGGATTTAACTGGTCATTTTCTGGAATCTTAAATCACTGAAAGGAATCCTTTTGGTTAATACACAGAGAGATCACATTGTTCTTGAATTAAGGGCAATTGTTCTTGAATTGGTAACATTTGTTCTTGAATTGAGAGCATTTGTTCTTGCATTTAGAGCATTTGTTCTTGAATTGGGAACATTTGTTCTTGAATTGAGAGCATTTTTTCATGAATTGGGAGCATTTGTTCTTGAATTTAGAGCATTTGTTCTTGAATTGGGAACATTTCTTCTCGAATTGAGAGCATTTGTTCTTGAATTGAGAATATTTTTTCTTGAATTGGGAATATTTGTTCTTGAATGTAGAACATTTTGTTCTTAAAATCCTCTTTGTGTACCATTCTATAAAATGACCATTAACCCCAGCTGGAACTCCCTTCTAACCCACAACACACACAAAAACATATTTTCCAGTTCAAGAACAAGGGCGGTAGCAACGATGCGATACCATCGTTCTCGGCCAACACAATTGTGATTAAGGGCTCCGACCAGAAGAGTCTGCCCATCCACAAGCCCACCGGCCCACTGGTGCCCCAGGGCACGGGGATCTTTGGCACGGACAAGGGTCATTCGGATCTCAGCCATCCCGGCGATCAGGCGCCGTCCTTCCATTCGGTGAACACCCTGCTACCGGGCAGCAATAGTGAGCAATGAGCGAGGAGTCTTACGGATGGGAAACTGCAAAGTTTGTGTCCTTTTTAGATGATGGCCAGTACGTGCCGGATAGCAATCCGTATGTGCATGTGATTGGACCCAATGGAGGAGTCGGAGGCAGCGGCTCTGGCGGCGGTTTCGGTGGAAATGGAGGATTTGGAGGAAATGGCGGGTTTGGACCCAATGGACCTAATGGACCCAACGGACCCAATGGACCAAATGGACCCAATGGACCACCTGGACCTCCTGGACCACCGGGTCCAGTCGGCGCGGGAGGAGGAGCCTCAGGAAAACCGGTCTACAAGGATGGTGATCGCACTGGCCTGGGCGCTGGATCCGGAATCGGTTCCGGCGATCGCATTAGCACCGGAAACGGTGGTGGTGTTGGATCCGGCGATCGTTATGTCACCGGAAACGGTGGTGCAAGTGGCGCCGGCGGTCGCTATACCACCGGAAACGGTGGTGCCGTCGGTGGCGGCGATCGCACCGGAACCGGAAGCGGTTTCGGAATCAGCGCCGGTGGCCAGTATCGCCCGGACAATGAGGGAACCTACACGAGCACCTACACGCACACCGAGACCGGTTTTCCTGGGGCGGTTCCATATGTTCCAGGTTAGCCCTCCAAACGATTTACTTCGATTTACGCTTGGAGAGCAAAATTTGAACGAGCTGCGGATGTGGAGTGGATTTATAATAATAGAATAATACTCAATGACAAAAGGTTCCAATATCATACAACGAAATATTCCTCATTCTTATACGCGCGTTTCAAGTTCGTTCAAATTTCTCTCTTCAAGGCTTTTAGTTTGTAAGCTCAAGCAATCTTAAACGTATGTCTATTTTACCATAATTCTTACTTAAACTTTAAACTATTTTAAGGACTTTTCGTTTATTTTCAGCCAAAAACCTAATTTCTATATTTTTACTTTGCAATTTCCCCTCCCTCGAAAAAAAAGAACACACACACACACATATATAAGTCAGGCAATATGCTAGGGCACGTTTTTTTGATTTTTAGTTATCCTTTATCAGAGCACCCAAATCCCAAGAGCGCACAATCCCAAACTATATTATATTTATATTCCTATACCTCACTTTCTATTCCTCCTGCACAAATTGAATGAAAAGAAAAAAGAGAATAGCAATTTGATCACAAATTCTGTTTCTCAGCATGTTCATTTGGCTGAGATCCGATTATCACAGTTATATCACCCATGCTTGCACCGATTCTTCAGTTCAACACCCTACACCTACACACCTACACCTACACACCCACACAAGTACACACATTTATTGTAAAATAATTACACGGCACATGAAAAAAAAAGAAAAAATATAACCGCTTGAGCAATGGCTATTAATCAACTCTACAACTGCAACTAACAATTAATACCTATGATTTATTTTTGACTGGTTTTCGGTACTCCTGATCCCCCAACTAAACCCATAGTTTAATACTAATTCCATTCTACTTGTTTGCTTTGTTGTGATGATTTTTGTTTACTTTTTTGGTGACGGCATAGATCGTTTAGCAAGTAACTTTTGAATGTATTCTAATGTTATGTAATTATGTAGACCAGTTTTAGACAATCCATTGTTTGTAGTTTATATATTGTTTAATATTTACTTGTATCTAGTTGCTAGTATCTGTAACCGTAGTTAATTCGTGAGCATGTAGAAAGTACACTTTTACACTGCACAGTTTCTAATCGAACGATTTCTATGATCTTAAAATCTACTCTCTAGATAACGGTAAATATAACGACAACAGCGGACGCTATAACGGTGAGTTAATATTGAAAAAGTATTTTATGAGCTATAAATACTCATGTACTCCTTATTCTATCAACAGGTATTAACGATGGTCGGTATTATCACGATGATTCGGGCAAATATGTTCACGTTGAAGGCCCCACTGGACCACCAGCACCTCCATATGTCCATGTTGTTGGACCCGAAGGCGGATATGGCGGCAACGGCGGCAACGGAGACGGCGGCGGCGTAGGCCCAGGCGGCCCAGGAGGACCTAAAGGACCTGGCGGTAGAATTTTGGATAATTCTGTGATTTAAAAACATTTTTATAATAATTTTGAAACCCGCTTTCTAGGCCCCAAGGGACCCAACGGACCCAACGGACCTCCCGGACCCCCCGGCCCACCCGGACCACCTGGTAAGTTTTTGGAAAACTATTTTTTCGGGAGCTGTTAGATCTAACAACCTGTATACGTATTATCTAGGACCTCCCGGACCCAAGGGACCTACTAAGCCCGGACCTTTCGGACCCCCGGGACCACCCGGTAAGTTTAAGAAAGCTTTCCTATTATTTAGCTGCTTACTTACTACTACTTCAGGCCCACCCGGACCCACTCGTCCCGGACCTTATGGACCTCCCGGACCACCCGGCCCAACTCGTCCCGGCCCACCAGGTAGGATACCCTATAGATACCCATTTTAGAAATAGAATCTAAAACTAAAATACCTTTCAGGACCTTCTCCCACCGATCCCCGTTACTCGGACAAGGAGACGCCCGGCTACCTGCCACCTCAGCAAAAGGGTAACATCTCCAAGCCACCTCCATCCTACTCACAAACCATTGAAATTGAACCACCTAAAACAGTTTTTAAGCCCAATTACGAACACAACAATGATTATGTTATTAAGAAAGTGCCTGTAACGACTAAACCACCACTAACCTATATTCCTCCTTCTTTCCCAAACACTCCAAAACCCTACGTTCCCGTTCCCGTTCCCGTTCCTCAACCGCCATCCCAAAAAATAACCACGACGACGATCGTACAGCCAAAGGTCCCGGCTATCATTATTGAGAAGGATAAGCCACATAAGAGCGTTACGACACCGCCAGTGACAACGGGTAATATTGAAAACCACACGTACCTACCACCACCACCGCCGACTCCGAAATACGTGACCAAGACACCGACTCCGAAACCAACTCCGATACCCATCCATTACGAGCCCTCGACTCCACGACCTTTCGAAAAGGTGGTGATAACCTCACCGCCACAGATCCAATACCATACGCCACAGGTCCCAACCGTGGTGAACGTACCCAAACAACCCGTGACTGTTCCACCGTACAAACCCGTGACACGACCTCCCCCAGTTTACGTTGAACCCAAAGTAACGCCACGTCCCTCTCCCCCATTGCATGTGCCATCGATATCGATCAGCGATCAGTCCTGTGTTTGTAACGCCGATAAGACGCACTCATCGAAAAGCACCCTTACCTCAACCACAAGCACAACCACAACCACGAACTCCTATCCCAATCCCGCCTCCGTTGACTTTAACAAACAATTTTCCGGCTTCAATGGACAAGCAAACTTCGGCAGCATAATAAACGCCATGTCACTGACCCAACTGCCGGTGATACCCCAGGCACCCGGACAGCCGGCCTTCTATCCGCCGGACAAGATCCCCAAGGGCGCTGTTATCGCTCTCATGCCCGTGGTGATCCTGCCCCAGGAGTACTATTCCAATTGTGACGACAACTCGATCAATCAACACTCGAACATCGATCCCTTCCCGCTGGGCGTTCAGCCGGGCGTATCCTTTAGCCTTCATTCGGTGCTGACGGGTTCGGCGCCCAAGGATCAATGCATGTGCCCCTGTTCGTGCACCCAGAACCTGCCGTCGAGATTACACAAGAAACGCGAAGCCAGCGAAGCTGAGGCTCCAGTGGAGGTTAAACACGAAGCCGCTGCCTCCGAAGAGGTGAAGACCCTGGTCGATTCCCTGCCAGCCGCCTCGGAAGAGGTCAAGGTTAAGGTCGCCGAACCAGTGGCGCCCGAACAGGTTAAGGCCGAGGCTGTGGCCGAACCCAAGCCCGCAGCATCCGAAGAGGTCAAGGTGAAGGTTGAGCCCGTTGCAGCGGCCTCCGAAGAGGTCAAAGTTGCGGCTGAACCCGTTTCAGCGGCCTCCGAAGAAGTCAAAGTAAAGGTTGAACCCGAAGCAGAGAAAACCCTGGCTGACCCTAAACCAGAAATCAAGGCGACTAGCGAGACGAACTAAGACAAGGACAAAAGAGAGAGGACTACCCAATATCCCTAATCCCAGATCCCCGCTTAATCCCATCCCAACCAAGATCCCTCCTCTCCCACGAAAAAAACTAAACCTAGTCTAAGTGTTTTTAGTGTCAACCAGCATTTAAGAAGGGTCTAAATCGAATGGAGAACCCAGCTAATGTGTTCGCTTTCTTGTGTTATTTCTAAATCGAATTCGATGATATTGTTTTCCTCACACCTTTGGTAAATGCACTCCAGACCGCCTGTCCACGATGAGTTTCGGAGCTCTCTAATTGAATATTATCTCCTTTAAATACCATTTTGTAATCTAAAATATTTCCTCTACGAGAGAGCACTGAGAATTGGCAAAAACTTAGAAGAAGAATTGAGCGAAAATTGTCCTGTGACATGTTGTTTATTATGCATTTGTGTATGCTTTTTATTTTTTATGATTTTGTTCAGTTTTATTTCTTTATGATTTTTTATCAACTTTAGTTCTTAGTTTATTTAATGTCTACTCTAATAATGATTGAGACGGAATAATGAATTGTTATGTCAAAAGAGAAATGTGAAATTAAATAAAATGTAAGAAAAAATGCAGCCCGTTTTAATTTATTTATTTGTTTAGCGAAAAATGGAAATTGGGCGGCCTTCGATTGGATTAACTTGGAAAATGGAGACAATTAGAAGTTGGCCATTTATTTATTTTGGATACAAGAGGCTAAAGTCTCCTTGTGATACCTTAGATGAGGACCCAATGCCACTAATAAAGCTCTGACCTACATACTTATAATTACTCTCTGGCATAAAGATAAATAAGTACATATGCTGCTATGGACAAATTGGCTTGTGTTACAGATGGGGTGCCACTTTGTAGTTACACATTTTACCTCGGCTACATTTGAAAAGAAGTTTGTACACAGTATTTGAACGTTTCGACTATGAAATACCTACAGATTTGTTACAAAATATGTAGTATACCTAAAGGGCGTTTTGATCGTTAAAAACCTTACCTTAAAAACGACATTTGAAATGTTTGTATAGTAAATTTAATGTATAAACACACACTGGCGCCACTAAGTAATTCTGTGTTTCTACAGTACTTCCACAGAGTTATGCCTAAAAGTATACTGACATCAGTGAAAGTTAATTTTTCATTTGACTTAAAAACTATGAAAATAAGCATAATAAATAATTTTAATATTTTAATATCATTTTAAATACATATTCATTAACAAATTACTGATTTAATTCTATAATCTTGCAACTTTCTTTGAAATGAGTTTTGACCCTGCTTTGATGGATTTAGTATCTTTAAGAAATCTTTTTGAAGTTGGATGATGGCCTAATTTAAATTTATTGATACAAAAGCCATCCCAACGAATCGTAGTCCCCAACCTTGTTAACATCAAGATTGAACCTCCTTCTAAACAAGTTCAAGAATCCAATTTGGAAATTAAATCTTTATAAAAAATAAGTGAAAATGATGTTCATAATGAGTGGTGTGTGCCGCAATCATCGACGCTTGCCAGCAACTAAGGGGTATTAAGTGGGTATATAAGGCTTACAAACTTAAAAATTAAACTGATTTGTAAATTATGTAAACAATTTTTCAACATAATGGTTGTAAATTTATAAGTCCGAATTTTCCAGGGTTTCTTACGGTCGACTCCTGCTAATTAGATTTATCTGTCGCTCATGGTGCGTAAAATGGCTGTCGGCATGAAATATCTGCCAACAAAATTTCCCATTTGCAAATATGTATAAGTCTCTTTTCTTCTTCTCCCGTTTTGCGTTTGGAGTGGTGTTCAATGCATGAGCCAGTCAGTGAGCTCCTTGGAAAATGGAAAAGAATAGACGAACAAAAACAAGCAGGGAAGCCAACGTTGAAATGGAGACTTTTGTTTATTTTTTGTTATTCTGCTGTTTTGGTTCTTTGTTGTTTCGAAAGGTATAGAATGGAATTCAAGGCAATTGAATACCTTTAAGGATCGGAAGGCTTGGCAAAATTTTGCCCAAAGCTTAAAGCAAACAGAGCTGGGGATATTTTATTAGCATTTATTAAATTACTAGCTGGTACATTGTTATCTTTTTGGAGCAAGGAATTTAAATAAAATTCCATATTCCGACATGTGGATCTCATTAGACGAGTATTTAATATTAAATGCAAGACAAGATGAGTCGCAACTTGTAACCATTTTACCTTCAGTGAATGTGTAACCCAGTTTTTGGGATAAATTTTACGACCATGTTGGGTAAATAACTAGAGAGTTGCAATACCCGCATGTCGCAAAATACCCGATACTTTTCACACTTTGGTATCTTTGACTCTAGCTGTGAACTCTTCAGTTGGTTTAGGGCTTTGGGTGGAGGTCAAAATTCGGGTAAATACAAATACACTTTGAGATAATTTCTAGTTCGAGTCGTATTTTAGGTTTTATGAATGAGTTTACAACTACTCAAGGTCTTTTAAAGATTATGAAATATATTTGGAGTTCTTTGGGTTCCACCGGCGATTATGCAACAGAATAGCGCTAAAGGAAAAAGTTCACAAGACCCAACAAAAAGCCAAGTAAGCTAAATATTTAGACAGCAAACTCTCTGTGGATAATTGGAATTAAAGATATACTAAACAAACGCGACCTGGCTGGCAGCGTTTTGGTATTCTCATTCATTGCGATGGCCAGGCGGTGAAACTTGAAAGAAATGCGATCTGTGAACTAAGGGTAAATATTCAATGGTTTACCGGGGCGGGGCGTTTTCCTCTGTTTTTATTTATTATTTTTGTTTCTGTTTCGGTTTTTTTTTGCCTTTTGCTATTTGTGTTTGTTAAAGTTTTGCAAAGGCAAATAGGTAAAATTAAACTCAACTCACGCACTGGCAAGATGGGGCATTTATTTTGTCACCTGCCTCGTGTAATTGAGAATAATACTCGCTATTATTAAATAATAATAATAATGCATAATCTGACTGACATCTGACTGCCTGCTCAGAATGCTTAGAACTCTTTAGGGCTGGATTTTCCATTCCCACCTGAAGTTTCGCTTTGGCCATCGCAACGTGTCGTATGAGTAATAAAACCGAGCTTGGCTTCCAAGTGAGATAGAAAAGTGCGACAAGTGCGAGATGCCAGAGTTGGGGGCTTTGTTTATTTTTGTTTCTGTCTTAGCGACGTCGACAGCGACTTGCGACTTCAACTTGAGCGTAGCAACTCAGCCGGAAAATGAAAAATATAAATTGGCCCCTCGTCTGAGAAACAGAATTATTTAACGTCCAACAACCGGGCCAAGCAGTTGTCTTGGTTTCAAAAAAGCTCTCTGTTACGTACTTCGCCGGGAAGTTTACTGTATTCTGATTGTTTCGCTTTTTAAAATAGTCAAAATCAGCCGGTATGTTCGTCATCATCATGAAGCTATTTACTCTAATGGTGAGTGCTCTGAGCGATATCCAATTTGCGTAAAGACCCGAAAACAAAAGCCCTTAAAATGACATTTCAGTTGGCCGTAACTGGAGTCTGGAGCGCCGTCCTGCCCGAAAATCAGCAGGTGGCAACTGCGGCCAGGACGACGGGGTCAGGTGACTTAGCCACCGCCGAGACTTCAGCCAAGTGTAAGTAAAATTCATTTAATTCAGTGTTTTCTTAGAAATAAAAACATCGTGTTAAAAACTGAAGTTCTAAAATATCTTTATTTAATATTCTTTAAAAATATTAAATGAATCATTTTCATTTGGCTATTATTTAAACTAAATTTTCGTATATTTCTGGTATAAAAACTAACTAAAAAGATTTATGGAACTTTAAAAAAATACCTTCATATTTTATTTTACTTAGAAATATACTTTTAAAATACCTAAATTAATTAATCATTAATCTTAGAAAATAAAATTTCTTTAAAAAAATCTTTAAATTAATAATTTTAGTTTAGTTTATTTAAATTACATTTTCTTATAATTTTCGTATTTTCTGGTATTTTTTCCCTCTTAGTGCTAAATCTTTTTGGAACTGGCTCTGGTTATCCCAACTATGGCTACAACTACAATCGCCCGATAAACGGCTACTATCCCGGCCAGAATACGAATTTCTATGGATCATCGGGATATTATCCCGGTTCGGGTTATGGCTCTAATACTTACTATCCCAACCAGGCGAGCTATGGATATGGATCGTCGAATTACTACCCAACGCAGGGATATAACTATTATTCGACCAGCAGTTATCCCACCACAAATATTCTGGGATCGCAAGGAGGCAGTGGATATAATGGATATGGTGGATATGGCGGCTATGGAGGTAATGGAGGTTTGAGGCAATATTCAGGCTATTGGCAGCGGGATTATCAGGGTCAGCGGAATCGCGGCTATGGCTACTACGATGATACAGATCGTTTTGGTCTGCCTGCCTCCAGAGATCGTGGCTACAGCTCGAGTTCCTATCGTGGCTATAACTAAGTATCTGCTTTCTGTGTGCGTCTCTTGTTATTGCATTTTTGTTACCGCTTTTCCACCGCTTTAAACCCCTTGACTAATAAAAAAAACACAATGATACCTCAACTGCTACTAATTTAATGTGTAAGTTGTCGCTTTAGCTTGGCGCGTAATTAATCTGCTTCTAGGTTACATTTCCATGAGGCTTGAGGCATTCAAATTACCTGCGGACACGCCCAATTGCACACTCAAATTTGCCCATTTGTCATTCGTTCATATTCATGCGCTCAGAAAAAAAGCAACCAAAGCCTCTCAAAATTAATTGAATTTTTTCAGCTTCATACCAAAAGTTGACTATACTTATTTTTTGTGTTTTTGGCCTCATCGCGTTGCCAACTTTTGTTTCATTTACAGGCTATGTGCGCACCACTTTTGGCTAAAATAAAACCGCCAAGAACTTAACCAAATGTTACACTCCGGCACTTCGCATCAAAATCAACACACAAAAAGATCGTAAAACTTATATAAGCAAATTTATTAGGAAACAAAGGCGAAATAACCTCTGAGACGGAGCCCCTTTAACATTGCACAGAAAATCTCCTCAAGTTTTTGCGGAGGAGACAAAGTCTGAGCAGCATCTTGACTACCAAGTCTTAAATTTTAAGTTAAGTAAAGTCATGTTTATGCTTTTCCCCTTCGGCTGCTGCTGCTTCTGCATCAAGCTCGTAAATGCAGTGGAGCAAAATTTGCGCTGGAATTTTCCCGGGAAAGTGCTGAGAGCAATTTGTGATAAGCTAATAGATTTCCCCTGTTAAATAAAGCAATCATTTTCCACAAATTTATGTGAGCCATAAGAAAATTAATTAAACTGAGGAGGAGGTAAAGTAAAATTTTTTGGCTAGGAAGCTAAGAAAATTTCCATACTGGAAAAATATGGTTTTGGTTAGAAGGTAACAAAACTTTTAGCTGTTATCTTTAACATTCCAAAGGAAAACAAAGCTAGAGTTCATTAAAATTATTTGCAAATTTCTTCAGAAGCAAACTATTTTCTTTTTCAAAGCAAAACATATATTTTTTTGCAAATGAAATGAAATTTTCATACTGGGAAAATATTGTTAAACATTGTTATTGTTGAAAGGTAACAAAACTTTTATCTGTTATCTTTAACATTCCAAAGGGATTGCAATTTCTTCAGAAGCAAAAAATTTTCTTCTTCAAAGCAAAATACATATATTTTTGGAAATGAAAAGAAGCCATCAAATGGAATTCCTCTATTTAAATGATAATTAAATTGCAGATCTTGATTTCTGGCATTCCTTTAAACATAAACAAGCATATATGACAAAATAAATTTGGAAAATCATTGCGCCACATGCTAGATTTTTCCATTCACACAATCTATGATGATTTTTTAATCTACTTGCTCATTCATTTGTCTCTTTTGGCTGGTTCCATTGAATGCGCCGCTTCCTTCCGTGCAGTCATAAAAATAAAAAATAAAAACAATACCATACCGGCAGCCAAGAACCAGAGATACAAGATACAGATACATAACTCGATGTGTAAATACAAAGAATACCAGCATTTCATATGGAATTTTTCTCAAATTTATCGCCAAATTGTTTAGAATAGGTACGGGAAGGCATAAAAACCGAATTCCCAGGTCATTAAAGAGCACAAGTTATGTTCAAATGGAATTGAGAAGAGAATATCATTTTTTTTCCCATTTTTATTTTTATATTGTTTTGGTCTTCATTTATTTAACGCTGTTTATTATACCAGTGCGATGCGCTCTACATTAAAGGCAAATAAAAATAATTAAGCGGCGCAAACTACAATAAATAAAAACCAAAAGAAAACCGATAAAGAATTTCTGGTTTGAGGCGGCAATGGGAATATTTATTTGCCATACGGATTAAGTGCCGCATGAGGCGTTGAAATCTAATGTTAACAACATTTTAATTAACGGACAATGCCAGCAAATAATGCAAAAATTATTGCACATAATTGCTGGATATTGGGTAAATGAGCACCGCGTCAGTTTATTCAGAGCAAATATTTAACCGGCATGTACTATATATACCACTTTTTTGCTGCTGCCCTCGGACGTAAAAAAGGGGAAGACAAAAGGAAAAAGTTGGAATTCAATAAATACGCAAATACAATTGCAATTTCTGTTGACCCCTGTTCCATTTCCCCAGCGAAATAATAAAGGGTGTAGGGAGAAACTAAAGGAAGCCAAAATATGCTTCAAAACGAAAGGGTCGAAGTTGCGAGCCACTTATAGAAATTGTTGTATAATTTGAAAATTTCATCTAGCCAACAGAAGTCTGCAGGAAATGTTCTTAGCCAAGGGCTTCGCTTTCGTCACTTTTCTTATCAGTCGTGGGAAAGTCTTTTACTTTCACTTCCCCTTTGGGTTTTTGGGGTTGGCGGAAAATGGCGCAACTTTTATATGGCAGTTCATAATTTGCCACAGCTGCTGCTGCTTGAAACCAAAACTAAGAAGAAGTGCGGTAATTGCCGGGACAAACTTGCAGAGCAGCTCAAATTGCGTGTGAAGGTGGCAGAGAAATTCATAGAAATAGTCGATGTGGTCAAAGGACAAAGTTTCAGGATTTTCTTCTATCAAATGTTCGCGTTCAATGAAAAAGTTAAATCAAGATTTTCGATCAACAGCTTTAAGCGGAAATGGCAGTTAATAGAATTTCCAGAGAAACCATTTTCATACCTATCAAAAACACTGGCAGCTGGGAAATTAAATTGCCCAAAAATTCTGACGTTTGAGTGACTAATAGGCAGCTATCCTTTTAAACGAATTTTTGTTACTCAAGAAAAAAAGGGTCAAAGGTCTTTTCTTAAATTTATTATAATCCCACATCTGCAGTGCGTCAAGGGTTGCTTTCAATTTGTCTAACAGAATTATTTAACAACTTTGTTAGGCTGCATACAAAATGTATGGAAGAAAAGACCTTAGGCCCTTGAAAACTAATAGCTTTTCAATGCCAAGCAGTAAAAGGGAAACTTGTGTAATTTTATTCACAGATGCACTAACAAAATGGACACTGTTTGTATGCTAATCAACAATTAGATGCTTTTTTTCTGGGCGTTGCTAAGCTTTTGCTTCAAAATATCTATATTATAACCCAAAACTCGCTTTCATCGCATTTTTGTTTAGATCGTGGATTTTTGGCTAATTTTATATAGAGCGTTCGTTTTTTTTCAGCCAAAGCAAGTTCATTATATGGCATGCTTAACTAATTAGCACCTGAAAAGGCGCCACGTGCTTCAGTTATTATACCGAAAATATAAAAAAAAGGTGTAAGTCCAAAGATCACAAAAACCGACATTTAAATCGAAGGGAAAACAAGGTTATTCTATTTCAGCTGACTGATTAACCCAAAAAACAATCATATAATGTATATCTATGTCTGCAAAGCACACAATCCCTAAACAAAAATCCCAGTCTCTAATGATAACTTTAGCACGTGCCGTCGGAAGGAAGCCAGACTATAAATGATTCAAAATCATTATCATATCGCACTCTGTTTTGTTTGTGTTTCCCATTAACAGCAAACAAGGGGAATATCGAGAAAGAGAGGGAGATCGATAAAGTGTGAGAGCGAGAGGCCAAATCGCCACCGGCATCATATTTAAGCTATGTAATTTATTACAGATAAATCAAAACAAATCGCTTGTTAACATTCGCCTTTTGCAGCGAAGCGGAATTTATGCATAAATGCATTTAATTATATGCGTAAAAAACGTGGCCCAAACAACAGCGAAAAATCGATGATTGGTGGATTTGATTGGAGATTTAATGGGGAATCCGAAATGGATAAACCTCAATTTCGGGGCATTCTTATTCACTCGATTTCAGGAAGAGAGGAGGCCATAAAAACCACACTTCACAAGCCAAATAATCAAAGAGCCAAGCGCCAAGGCCAGACAGGTAAATCAATCAATTTGTGTACATAGAAAAAAGAAGAAAAATACATTCTATATACTTATTTATATTGGATTTCAATGATACACTTATTGAGGATGCCCGAAATGAAAATGTTTTAAACTTCGTCGCCGGTGGGCAAAAGTCTACAGTCTACAGGCGGCAGTCGGGTAAGTAAAGTAAGCTAAAATAAAGTAAGACCATAATTTAATTAATTTAAACAATTAACAGACTTTTGGGCTAAGTAAGAGACCTGTTGCTTCAACTCAGCCGAGTGAAGCAAACTTTTCTGGTCTCGATGATAATGCGAATTTAGTTAAATTAGTTCGTATTTAATTCAATTCACACACGAGCTCTAATGGACGCCATGATGCCAGCGACTCGAAATCTGTTCAAATAACAATCTTAAGTATGTGTGGAACTTGGCTTAGGTGTGCGATTTCAATATGAGTTCGAATTTTTCAACTAAACTAAAACATTTTTAGAACATTAATTGGCGAGGGAACGGAACCACCGCTGAGCAAACAAATTGATTGAATGCGATATTTGATCAAACTTGTGTCGAATTGCAAATCAATTTGAAGTAATTGAAAGGCAATTAAATTGATTACAGCTCGCTGGGGAATCGAATTCGGTTGTGTATTTAAACTGCTATGTATAATATGGAAATTTCGTTGATTTCCCATTTAAAGTGAGTGAATAATTTGTCGTTGGCCTGAAACGCAGTCATCAAATATTAAAGTACGGCTTAAACTGCAAAAAAGAGAGACATTTTCTTTTGTTCAGTTAACCTAAAATCCTATTAACCTTTGGGTTCCATTACTGTTGGCTGTTTTGCTTTTTGCCCAGCAAAACTCAATGCCTGCTGGCAATTCTCTGGTTCTATGGGACAATCACTGCTCGTTTGGGTGACCCAAAGGTGGGTCAATGATGGACATTGTCTTGCATGTGTCGGTCATGATGAGTTTTTGTTCTCAAATTCAATTTGCTTTCGGCTTTAAGGGAATTTGGCTACCCGAAAAACATGGACAAGAGATTTTTACACAGGCATTTCCAGGAAAGTTGCTGAAAGCACTGCAAATTAAATTTCGAAATAACTGGGCTTTTGAAATCCCTTTTAGGTGTCTAAAAGTATGCAAGAATTTATTTTTAACCCAAAAGTGGTATGAATTGATTCAGGAAGACGACTAGCCTTTATTCACTCCTTACTTTTAGTCACTTATTTTAAGTATTTTGTTTTTCCCAAAATCTAAACAATCTAAAAGCAGTAAATTATTTTTAGAGAATTAAAATGAATGCATTTATGTTTTAATGATGTTGAAAATTAATTATAAGACCAGTTAATGACCACAATAAATTACTTTGAACAGAACCACAATCATCTTAAACTGTTTTCATCGTCACTTCTGCCACCCAAAATTTAATGAATCACTTGGCTCAGTTGTAATTGTTCTGTCTGCC